AAAAAAAAAGTCTTGTCCAGACTGATAGAATGATCACCAGAGATTGAAAATTTATATGCATTGATATACCCATCAAGCCACATTACTATATTCATTGTATATATATTATATATATAATATATATATACATATATATATTTTTTAAGGATGAAAAACTTCCTAAAAACAAAGTCAATATCAAATTTTGCCTTTAGGACATCCTTGAGTCTCTTACACTAGATATAAATCTGCTATTTTTAGTTTATCGTGATTTGCATCTAATTTTGTTAATTCTCTTTAGTATCTTTAACCACTTGCAATGTAATATCAGTCACATACTTTCAGATAAATATTGCTTAAAATCTTTAAAAATGACAAAGTATTTGTTTCTGTAAGTTAACATATACTGATATAAAAAGTCAGAAAATCTAAATTCCTAACTAATTATCATTTAACTTACTTTAACTTTGTGTTTTCCACTAAAACCTAAGTTTAAAATAATAGAGGCAGTGTATCCCAAAAGATTTGAGTGAAGGTCAACTTCCTCTAGTCATTATTGTACCAAATGGACAGTAAAATAATTTTCTAAATAGAATTAACTTTTTTTTTCATTGTCAGGCAAATTAAGTGATATCATCAGGAGACAACCCATAATAATCTTACTAGATCATTAACCTACTGTAAAAAACTACAGGAATATAAAATATTCTCTAAAACTTTAAAAATGTTAAATGATAAAAGACAAAGCATTTCATTTGCCCCTGAAATGTACCTGCAAAATAGTTACTCTGTGATGGGAAAAGAGAACAGCAGCTAATTTTGATGGAAGCACTTTGACAGAAGTTGGTACAATAAGCAGACAGGCACCACTTGACAGAGCAACAAATATTTCCACAACGGAAGGATCAAAGGTCAGAGGTGAAGCCAGAAACAAAACATCTTCCTGTGTGATCTCGAAAAGTACCCTAAGGCAAAGCAGAATACAGTTATGAGAAATGTCTAACATTTGGTAATCACATATCCTAAAAAATAATGACCATTAAGTTTCTGGATGTTGGCCAGATTTTTTACTCTTTTCTGGTTCATTAACCAATATGGTGCTATTAATTCTAGAACTGTTCTTTATGAATATAAGGATTAAAAGCCATTTAAAGCAATATCTACTTCTTGGGGGCGCCTGGGTGGCTCAGTTGTTAAGCATCTGCCTTTGGCTCAGGTCATGGTCCCAGGGTCCTGGGATCCAGCCCTGCATCGGGCTCCCTGCTCGGTGGGAAGCCTGCTTCTCCCTCTCCTACTCCCCCTGCTTGTGTTCCCTCTCTCGCTGTCAGATAAATAAATAAAATCTTTAAATAAAAAATAAAAATATCCACTTCTTGCCATGACATATTTTATCATCTGTGATGGTGTTCTGGTGTGTAAGTGTGGCTGGATTAAACCACAGTCCCCAGAATTTCCTTTCTAGTATGTTTTCCGTTAGGGTAAAAAGAAAGGACCTTCTCTCTCAAGACGTGGAGGACAGGGCGCCTGGGTGGCCCAGTTAGACTGCCTTCGGCCCAGCTCATGATCCTGGCATCCCTGGATCGAGTCCCGCATCAGGCTCCCTGCTCAGCAGGGAGTCTGCTTCTCCCTCTGACCCTAACCCCTCTCATGTGCTCTCAAATAAATAAATAAAATCTTAAAGGAAAAAAAAAAAAGACGCGGAGGACAGAGGGAGGCAGCTGCCATTTAGTAGAACACACACCTCTGTTATTCCGTCAAACACTAACCTAGGTGCTGCTGTGAAGGGATTTTGTAGACGGAGTCCCTACTCAGCCGACTTTAATCAAAAGGGAGATTATCCTGGGTTAACTCAATTTACTCAACTGGAAGGCCTTTAAAAAGTGTTAGGCCTTCTCTGAAAAAGAGACACAGCATCTGGGTCTACAATTACTCTCCCTTCCCCCTAGGTCTTTCCCGACTTGCCTGTGAACAAACACATGACTGTGGGGTTCCAGTCTGCTCATGATCATCCCTTTCTATTTATACTACAGATTTCAGTCTTGCTTAGCCCCCACAAACATAAGCCAATTCCTTATAGCAAGTCCCTGATATATCCTCCTGGTTCTGCTTTACTGGTAGAAACCTGACTTCTTCTATCCTACTTACTTAATGATGCTTAATAGAGACCTCTGACTCCCTTTTCCTACTATTTGGACTTTTCTCTCAGCAGCTGAACAAAGAGCAGAATATATGTAGTTAGGATATTACAGAGTATTAGATAGGCAGTGGCAAGCCTATGGCATGGCTTCATTTTGAACACACAAAACTCACTATCTAAAAAGCAGGGATTACCTTAACTTCAAAATATCTTCAAGTATGGTATTGTGGGGACCCACTCAGAACCCCAGAGTTGATATGAAGATTACTTTGAGCCGAGGACATTTTGGATTTAACAGATGTGGAAAGAAGCCTTCTTAGAGCTTCCCCCATAGGACTACTCATAAAAACTTCTGGGAAATGAGGTTGCCATAAATTCCTTCTTCAGAGTGGCTTTTATTCCCAGGAAGGAAACCAAGTGTGAACCTACTATAAATCCCCTCTGCAGTGACTTTTATGGCCCTGAAAGTAAACCAAAAAGGGATTTTTAACAGGTAAGTAAATTTCATTAAATTCAAGCACAAATAGCAATCAAGAAATTCCTATACTTTAAATAAGCCCGTTGGGGTGCTTGGGTGGCTCAGTCGCTGAGCATCTGCCTTCGGCTCACATCATGATCCCAGAGTCCTGGGATCAAGCCCCACATGGAGCTCCCTGCTCAGAGGGAAGCCTGCTTCCCCCTTTTCCACTCCCCCTGCTTGTGTTCCCTCTCTTGTGCTGTCAAATAAAATATTTTTTTAAATAAAAAAATAAATAAATCAGCCCCTTATCCCTCATTGGGCATATACTTGTTCCCACTTTACACATATTTCCTGCCTCTGCTGGCCCAGTGCCTCTCCCACCTCCACTAGATTCCAAATCTGCTCCACTCTCTTCAAGTTCCCTGCATCTCCATCCCACCTCACCTCTCGTACTCTTTAACACATGACTTTGCCTTCTGTTGCCTAGGAAGTTACAATCCATCAGCTTCCTCTAACCTTCCTTACCCTTCCATCTGAAAGCATCTTACTCCTTTACAACACTATTTCTTAATTTTTCAAACCAATTCTCTACCATCAGCCTATTAATGTCTCCTATCTTTTTTTTTTAAGATTGTATTTAATTTATTTAAGAAAGAGCGCACACGCACAAGTAGGCAGAGTAGCAGGCAAAAGGAGAGGGAGAAGCAGGCTCCCCACTGAGCAGATCCTGGGATCATGACCTGACCAAAGGCAGCCGCTTAACTGACTGAGCCACCCAGGTGCCCCTCCTTTTTTGGTTAAGATTTTATTTGAGAGAGAGCGACAGCGTGCGTGTGTGAGAAAAGGGACAGAGGAAGAAGGAGAAAAAGAATCTCAAGCAGACTCTATACTGACTGGAGAGCCCAATATGGGACTCGATCTCACGACCCTCAGACCACGATCCGAGGGGAAATCAAGAATGGGACATTCAACTGCCTGAGCCACCCAGGCACCCCAGTCTCCCATCTTAAAGATAAACCTATACCCTCCCAGAATTCTTTCTTTCCCATTAAAACTAGCTCCTAGAAATGAACACTTTATTGTCTCCATTTCCTTATTTCTCATGCCCTTATCCCCAGCCTAATGTAGTCCGTCCTCAGTGTTGGGCACTCGGAAATAAAGTCACTAAAGACCAGATTATCAATTACAAGACTCCTCTCTGCCTCATTTCACTATTCCCTTCTTCTAGACCTGCATTGTCCAGTATGGTAGGCACTAGAAACATGTGCCTATTGAGCACTAAAAACGTGGCTAATCGGGCGCCTGGGTGGCTCAGTTGGTTAAGCAACTGCCTTCGGCTCAGGTCATGATCCTGGAGTCCCGAGATCAAGTCCCACATCGGGCTCCCTGCTCGGCGGGGAGTCTGCTTCTCCCTCTGACCCTCTTCCCTCTCGTGCTATCTCTCATTCTCTAATAAATAAATAAAATCTTAAAAAAATAAAAACGTGGATAATCCATATTGAGATGTGTAAGTGTAAAATACATGCTAGATTTAAGATAAGCATAAAAGAGTGTAAAATACCTAATTTTCATATCGATTACATTATTGATATTTTAGATATACTGAATTAAATATGGTATTGTTAAATTTTATTTTTTTGGGGGGGGGAGGGGAGAGGAAGAGAGAGAGAGAGGCAGAGGGAGAGAAAGAATCTTAAGTAGGCTCCACACCCAACACAGAGCCTGACTCGGGGCTCAATCTCATGACCCTGAGATCATGACCTGAGCTGAAATCAAGAGTCAGATGCTTAACTGACTGAGCCACCCAGGCACCCCGTTTATTTTTATTTATTTTTTTTTTTTTAAAGAATTTATTTGACAGAGAGAGACACAGTGAGAGAGGGAACACAAGCAGGGAGAGTGGGAGAGGGAGAAGCAGGCTCCCCGTTGAGCAGGGAGCCCGATGTGGGGCTCAATCCCAGGACCCTGGGACCACGACCCGAGCCGAAGGCAGACGCCCAACGACTGAGCCACCCAGGCGCCCCTTTTTGTACTTTTAAAATGTGGTTGTTAGAAAGTTTTTAATTATATAAGACTTAAAATGACATGAAAATATATTTGTCACAAAGTTTCTATATTTGTTTCCCCTTTTGATTTCCTAAGACTACACTCCTTTGGTTCCCTTCCTCTTCTCTTGCCTTCTTCTCAATCTAAGAATCGACTTCATAGAGATTTCTCATCTCCTGATGAGCAAACCAAATTCTACAATGCTACAGGAATGAACGTAATGAATGCAAATCTTTTTACATCTACTGGGTTTAAGTGCAAAATTCTTCAACAGGGCATACCAGGCTCCTGCCCCCTCAGGTCACATGGCTCCTGCTCTCCCACTCCTTCCTCAGCTCTGCCCTGCTACACTCTAGCAAGCCAAACTTCTTTCTCCCATATGTCCGCCGTACCTCTACCAGGAATACACTTCCTCCTTATTAATAATTAAGAAGCAAAGCTTCAACCATCATTTGTTTGCTCCCTGTTTGGCTCCAGGTCTGGATCGGAGAGGTGAAGTCCTAGCCTGCAAAGAACTAAAGTTTAGATATAGCCAAAACAAGAGCCCCAATTACTTATGACTATCAATTTAGGAAGAAGAGTTCTAAAAAACAGGGGCATCTTGGTGGCTCAGTCGGGTAAAGTGTCCAACTCTTGATTTTGGCTCAGGTCACGATCTCAGGGTCATGAGATTGAGCCCCAGATTGGGCTCCCCACTCAGCGGGGAGTCTGCTTGAGATTCTTTCTCCCTCTGCCTCTCCCCCCTACTCAGTGTACATGCTCTCTCAAATAAATGAATCTTTAGGAAAAAAGTTATAAAGAACAGAGATTAAAATTTTTCCCTTGGGGGTGTCTGGGTGGCTCAGTCGGTTAAGCATCTGCCTTCAGCTCAGCTCATGATCCTAGAGTCCCGGGATAAAGCCCGGTGTCAGGCTCCCTGCTCAGCAGGAAGTCTGCTTCTCCCTCTCCCTCTACTCCTCCCCGCTGCTTGTTCTCTTTCTCTCAAATAATTTAAAAATAAATAAAAATTAAATTTTTCCCTTGGGGTGCCTGGCTAGCTCAGCTGGTAGAACATGCAATGAGTTCAAATGCCACATCGGGGGTAGTTTACTTGTAAAAATGTTTTCGGGGTGCCTGGATGGCTCAGTTGGTTAAGTGTCTGCCTTTGGCTTGGGTCATGATCCCACAGACCTGCGGATCCAGCCCCACATCAGGCTCTCTGCTCAGCGGGGAGCCTGCTTCTCCCTCTCCTACTCCCCCTGCTTGTGCTCTCCCTGTCAAATAAATAAATAAAAATCCTTAAAAAAATGTTTTTCCCCTTTAAAATACAAGTTTTTCTTTTTCATTTTTTAATTTTATGTTAATCACCAAACATTACATTAGTTTTTGATGTAGTGTTCCATGATTCACTGTTTTCGTATAACACCCAGTGCTCCATGCAGTACGTGCCCTCCTTAATACCCATCACCAGGCTAACCCATCCCCCCACCCCCCTTCCCTCTAGAACCCTGTTTGTTTCTCAGTCCATAGTCTCTCATGGTTCATCTCCCCCTCCGATTTTCCCCCCTTCATTTTTCCCTTCCTACTATCTTTTCTTTTCAACATATAATGTATTATTTGTTTCAAAGGTACAAGTCTGTGATTTGATCAAAAGTTTTACACAATTCACAGCACTCACCATAGCACATACCCTCCCCAATGTCTATCACTCAGCCACCCCATCCCTGCCACACCCCACCACTCCAGCAACCCTCAGTTTGTTTCCTGAAATTAAGAATTCCTCGTATCAGTGAGATCATATGATAATGTCTTTCTGATTGACTTTAAAATACAAGTTTTGAAGGATTTGAAGGACAGAACTCACCGAAAATGTTGGATGTTCGGCACTATACATGCATGAGGGACTCTGACAATCTTAGGTATCCCTGTAGTGCCTGATGTATGGAGAACATAGGCCAGGCAATGCTTTAGCCTCACATCCATGTGCTCATCTGACTTTTCTTCATTGCTGTTCCCAGAATTTGTGCTGTTTGTCACTTTTTCTTTTTCATATTTCTGTTTTCTGTCATTTAGCATCAAGTTCCCTTCAACATTTTTCCAGTGAAGTCTGAAGAGCACTAGGTCATTATGTTCTTTAAGTGTATCATAATTCAATAATATTTCATAGGAAGATTTGAATTTCTGTTACATGGGGAACAAAGTTCACAATTTTAATATGTTAAAAGACGTTCTTTTTTACATAGAAGTAACACAAAGTATTCATTTACTCCTTCAACATGGTTTTGAGTACTTCTATATAACTAGGGATTAAAAAAATACATTAGAAACCTGCAAGAATATGGGCGCCTGGGTGGCTCAGTCGTTAAGCGTCTGCCTTTGGCTCAGGTCATGATCCCAGGGTCCTGGGATTGAGCCCCGCATCGGGCTCCCCGCTCGGCAGGAAGACTGCTTCCCCCTCTCCCACTCCCCGTTTGTGTTCCCTCTCTTGTTGTCTGTCAAATAATTTAAAAAAAAAAAAAAAACCTGCAAGAATATAGTGCTGTCTTTATTTTCAATGTCACCTTCAAAATAAAAAGACATAAAAACATACCACTATAGGGCAACTATGACAATGAATATGCTTGAAATGTTAATAGGAATAGAGGAGACTGAATTTAACTGTCTGGAAGGTCTGAGATTGCTACATATCTAATATTTGGGTTATAAGAAGCTTTTGTCCAAATAAAGAGGAGTACTTTTTTTATGCAGAGTATCTGACCCAAGAAAGCTAATGTTGTGGAGAATGTTAACCATTCCAATAAGTTGAAGAATTGGGGGAGAGGGAGACTATAAGTAGAAGAGGAGATGCTATCCTTAATAACTTTGTATATACTCAATACTAAGGAGTTTACACCTTAACCTTATAAGCACCTTATAAGCAATGAGATCCAACTGAAGGTAGCAAGAGCATAAGCTGGACTTTACTCCATCAAGGATAGACTGTTAAGATTTTTGCTAAGTGAGGGTCTTCTAATGAAACTTTTGCAACAATTGGGATATGCATATAAGGCCTGAACTAGTCTACTGCAACAAGAGTGGACAGACAGAACCTATGAGCAAGTCAATAGGGTTGTGTAACTTTCTGGATACAGAGTGAGCCTAAGAAGATTGCAGAGTTTCTGGCTCAGGTATTTGGTAGATGGAGACAGATTAATACAGATTTACTTAATTTGGATAAAAAGATGTTAAATTCAATTTTTACATGCTAAAAGTGAGGTTCCTTTGAATATACCTTTTTAGGTTGATAAAAAGCAGCTTAATGAAACATAAGTTTTCACATCAAAGAAATTACTATAAAAGACAAATGAAAGAAGAATAAGAGAAATGAGAGAAGGTCACAATGCAAAGACCCTATAGTGTTTTGTTCGTTTGTTGTTGTATATTAGGGGTCAGGTGTGGTGTGACCACCTTCCTGTTTTACATTTGTCAGAACTCATCAAAATATACACATAAAATTGGTGATTTTTATTGTATGTCCAATAAACCTCAAAAACATTTTTTTTTAAGATTTCATTTATTTATTTGACAGAGACACACACAGCGAGAGAGGGAACACAAGCAGGGGGAGTGGGAATGGGAGAAGCAGGCTTCCCGCCGAGCAGGGAGCCCAATGCGGGGCTCGATCCCAGGACCCTGAGATCATGATCTGAGCAGAAGGCAGACACTTAACCAACTCAGCCACCCAGGTGCCCCTACTGCCAGCATTATAAAAAACTAAGAACCACTGCTCTAGTGGATGCTGAGCATATTATACATGCTCAATAAATATTTGATTGCTCATGTGTTAAACAGGAACACTTACATCAAAGTCATGGAACAGGAAGCAAGGTACTTTCTAGGGGATTTTCTATGTGCCCAACTCCTTATAAGCAATTAGAAAGAATACCTGATACTGACAATTCTCATATCCAACCACCTATTTTATAAAACTTTCACCAAGGTTAAGAAAAATGAATGTCGGGGTGCCTGGGTGGCTCAGTCAGTTAAGCATCTGCCTTCGTCTCAAGTCATGATCCCAGGGTCCTGGGATCGAGCCCCACATCGGGCTCCTCACTCAGTGGGGAGTCTGCTTCTCTCTCCCTCTGCTGCTCCCCCTGCTTGTGTCCTCTTTCTCTCTGTTGAATAAATAAAAATCTTAAAGAAAAATGTCACATCCGTTTTAGTTTTGCTTACATTGGCAAAGAAATAACCAATTTGAGAAGAAAACTTTTGACTAGACACGATTAGGTTTATTTAGAGAATATTAACCCATTATATGTAGTCTATTATACCTCAGTTGTCTCTTTCTAGCGACTTTTAATACCCGTGATTCTCTAGGAAGTCCTCCATATATCTCAAGCTCTTGATATTTTTTGTTATATATACAGATAGAGATGCACACACATACAGATACATAGGTGGGATGTATTTAAGTTACCGTCAAATATAAATTGGTTCAGATAGGAAAAGGGTAAAAAACAGGCTAAATTACATATATGTTCTATAATGTTCTATTTCTTTGGTAAAAATATTTTACAAATAAAATAATAAAACATGGGATGCATTTTGCTGAACACCTAACACCAAATATTACCCATAAAGCAGTGTTCCTTGGCTAGGTATTTGGTTGGCATTTAAAAAATTAAACTTAGTTTTCCAGAGAAGTCTGGTCTAAGTGCTAATCTTTTTTTCAAAATTTAAGCCTGGTTATAATTTTTTAATGTTGCTAACCACTGTAAATTGAAACATCTTTTATATTTGTGGCAAGTATTATAAAATTTTCCTAGTATAGAAACAACTTTGGATAGAGAAAGGAAATTCAAAACAATGCAGTACCTTATTATACATCTAGAACACACATTCATGCTATAGAGCAGTGTTTCTCAACAGAATGTAGGGGGTAAAGGGTGTCTCCAGGAGACATCTAGCAATTTCTGGAGACAATTTTGGTTGTCACAACTCAGAGGGGAGGGTGCTACTGGCATCCAGGGGTTCAAAACCAGGGATGTTGCTAAAACAACCTATAATATACAGGACACTCCTCACAACAATTACCCAACCCAAAATGTCAACAGTGCTGACACTGAAAAACTGCAGAGTTAGAAAAGGTGGACATGGACGGACACAAATCTTTCAACTGAAAAATAAACATAACATAAAAAAACCCAATTTAAATACACTTACATGAATTTGCTGTTTTTCAACAAGAATATAACTTAGATTACATTTTTTCATAAAATGAGTTGATAATGCTGGTGGTGAATCTGGATCAAGAGGAGCATAAGCAGCAGGGACTTGGAGAATTCTAAAGAAACAGTACAGAGTCAGCAAAGAAGATCTGTTGAAAATCATCTTTAAGTATTTCTCTATGTACTTTACTGTTGACTATATCAGAAATGCCCAATATTTTTGTTGACACATCTTTGGTTATAGTTTTTGTCTTTAAGACCGAATATCCGTTATTAAATTTTTATCACTTAATATACAGAAATCCAAGATTTTTTAAAGCTAATGTATTACAGAATATACTCAGTTAACACTACTACTAAAATACCAAACAGGTAGCAGTCTTGTTTCTTCATCTAAGATAACAAGCTAAATATCCACATGTAACTTACTACTATGCAGATTAATACAATCTATACTAAAAATGACATTTCACCAAATCCAGGATACCTTAAGGGGGAGGGAAACAACTTTAAAACTGATTTTTAAGTGGCAATAAAGATCCAAAATTAGTTAGTTGTTTTAACTGAAAGTATTTTGAGGTGGGGGACCTGGCTGGCTCAGTTGGTAGAGCATAGGACTCTTGATCTTGGGGTTGTGGGTTTGAGCCCCACTTTGGATGCAAAGATTACTTCAAAATAAAATTTTAAAAAAGCACTTTCAGGTATACTTTGGAGACAATAGATTTTTGCAGGAAATTCTCAAAATTTTGTCAATGATCGGATGAAGTAAAATTTTAACTTTTTTTGCTTTACATTTATACAATTAATCTACTAACACACATCCCATGGGCTGAATATCAACTTTTCTAATTCTTTAGCAGCTCTTATTTACTGCAGAACCCAAGTACAGAAATCACTATATAAGGATAATATTCTAGAACTTAATGAACATTTTGCAAATGATTTTTTGAATTAGTGTCTTCCTCAGTTCATAGCTCAATTTTTATGAACCATCATTCAAAACTCTCATTTATTAATTCATTCACTTACTGAATACCTGAGTACCTAGAACTTCAGTCTCAGGGGAAAAAAAGTTACAATATTTTTGAAATACTTGTTTTCTCTGATATAACAGAATTTATGACTGTTTTCTTTTGGCAGACAAATGAAGCCCTTATATTTTGGAGATATTTAAGTGTTCTATTAGCAAAAACTTCTGGTCTCTCCTAAACTCAGAGTAACTAATTTAAATGATTAAAAATAATCTTGGGGTAGGGGCACCTGGGTGGCTCAGTTGGTTAAGCATCTGCCTTCAGCTCAGGTCATGATCCCGGGGTCCTGGGAACCAGCCCCAAATCGGGCTCCCTGCTCAGCGGGGAGTCTGCTTCTCCCATTCCCCTTGCTTGTGCTCTGTCAAATAAATCTTTAAGAATTTCATAAATCCTTAAGAATAATAATCATCTTGGGATAAATATGAATTCCTTCAGCCTAAAATCTAACAAGCAATACATAAAAATAAAATAGTAAACAGAATAGTAATTTACAAGAGTCTATGTATTAAAGAATTATAGGTTAGAAAACTAAAAATTTAATATTAAAACAATTACCCTAAAATCCAAGAGGGTAAGTTTATCCCAGGATGGCAGTAGAGACCAACTTCCCGAATTCCATGAAAGGTACAGTGTAATTGCAGGAAATTTGATAATTCTGAAGCAGCATTAACCACAGTCTTATAGGTGTAATAAACTGGAGGCTGGTTGTTACACTCATCAAAACATACAGCTATTTTATCTGAATAAACGGAGGCAGCCTGATGCACCAATTCTTGAAGAGTCATTTCACTGAAGTTTCTCTAAACATCATTGGCAGCAGAGAACTCTACCTATATACAGAAATATTATGGGGACAGGGAGTTTTAGGGAAACTAGTAGGATGAGAAAGGGAGAGAGAAACTTCTACATAAATCATTCCTCACAAAAATATATCAAAAACATTAATCTCAGAACCCAGAAATGGTCTGTGGTGAGAACAATGAGGTTGAAAATTAATCTGATACCAATGACCTAATACTGGGTCGGTGCTGGAAGAAAATTTGGGAGAGGAGCGGTATACACAGGGGAGAATGAAACAGGTACATATGTAGTCTCTCTCAACTGCCCCCAATGGGAAAAAACAAAAAGTTAACCAATAAAACTCAATTTAAAGCACTACATGCTTAATTTTTTTCATTTTTCTTTGGTTATCGTTCCAGATTAAGATAAAGTGGTTAAAATCCTGCACAAAAGACTAACGCAAATAAACTGTGCTTTTAGGAACTGAACTTAGGTGACAGCAAAACAAACCTTTGATAGGAAAAAGAAAACTACCTAAATCCACCCAATTTTAGTCCACTATATATAAACTATAATACTTCAGAGGTCACATGAAGTCACTTTTATAAATGTTGAATAACCTCTTTATTCTCTTTTTAAACTGCCAATAAATTCATTTAAACTATAGTATTACAACTCAAAGCACTGTATCAATACAGTACTGTCTGGACTTCTCAATAAAAATATAAAGATTTTAAACAGTATTTCATCAAAAAAACTTTAGGGATCATCGAATTAGAAGAAATAACTGCTAGTATTTCCTTGAAAATAAGGGTGATTTTTTTTTTCTCTTCTGTGAACTCTTTTCTGTATTTCAAAAGCAGGTAAGATTTACCAAGTAGCCTACTTCAGTTTTTTTTACTTGTGCATACATATTAGAACTGATTTCACTGATTCAAAATAAAATTAACTTTTATCTATATCATTTAATTTATATGAATTAGTAAACAAAATATTCCTAAAGAGAGCAAAATGAACCACCATTGAGACCCATAAGGTTTGAAAATGCCACATTATCTAAATATAAAATTTAAAAACATAACTGTGGTAGTTTTTAATAAGCATTTCTATATTTTCTTTTGTAATGTACAAGATAAAAATTTTAAACTTTTCCTCATACACACAAATGATTATATAAAGACTGTCCATAGCACACATTATGCCAAATGTGTTTTTCACAGGAGGTATAGCCAGTGCAGAAGGATATCTTCTGCTACACTCTCCTGCTAGAGAGACAAATGGCTTACACTATAAGGCATTTTCACAAAAACAGTATACTGTATGTATCCCCCCAAAATGCATTTTTAATGCAAAAACAATTATAGCCATTAATTTTCCACATGAAGACATTCTGATTATTATACTCCAAAATACTTGACATCAAAGTGGAAAGTTTATAAAGTTAACTTTAAAAACACCATTTTTATGACAAATTACAACACTCACCACACATCTATGTAATTCAGATGTTTTTCTACTTTTAACTGCCAGTTTCCCAGGGGTTGCTACAGAGACTTAAGATCTATTGCATAAGGTTTTTATTTTAACAATCAAATACATTCTCTCCAATAAAAAAAATACTTAAAAAAATACTTATTGGACACCAAACATTTCTGAGACCTCACTGGGGTGGGGAGCAAATCTGGTAAGCATATTTTATATGTAATGGAATCATTAAGATATTCGCTACTTCATTTGTAACAGTAGAGGCTATTTATGAAGTTAACAAAGGTCTTAAGAGCGTCAACAAATTCTCGCGCTCCAAGGGCTTCTCTTCCTAGGTTATCAGTTATTTTAAAGACAATTAAATAATCTAGAAACTTTATTTTGCTGTATCCATTGGCTTAATTTACATTATGCAACTACATTTAATAACAATGCACTCGGTAGTTCCCACAACGCTTTTTCATTTGCTCTTCCAAACCATACTAGCAAATAGGTGGAGATTTATTTCCTTCAGAATGAAGGGGCCGAGGGTCTGAGGCTGGGTAACTCTGGAGAGATCACACAGGTCAGTTTAGTCTTTGCAGGTGACCAATCTGCCGGACGCCACGGACACACATCCCAGGCGAGGCGGTGGCCCTGAGGCTGAACCAATCTGCACTGCCAGCCCGAGGCCTCACCCTACTTCACTTCCCTCACACAAGCCCCTGCTGGATACCGCCTCCTGCGAGACTCAGAAGGCCTGACGATTGCTGCAGAGGCTTTAGCCCATCCGGACCCTCCAAAAGCCCGAACCCAGAACCTCCCCCAAACACATTTAAAAAAACAGTTACCCGCAAGCCGTAAAGCATACCCACCGCACTGGCCGCCGGGATCTGAGAGGCACGGGGTCTCCTGTAATCTTCTGCGTCGCTGCGTTGACGTCAGCTCCAGCGACCGGGGCAGATAGTGTCTTAAAGCCCCGCCCCCGCCCGAAGGGGCTTTCGTCAACTTGGGCAAGACCTGGCAGTGTTTTCGCCTACTACTCTCAACTCAAACACCTGTTGTGGTCACGCTGGATTTTTGGACAGGGTTTGCATAGACTTTGGGGCAGCTTAGAGCTGTGCCCTTTCATACTTAAACTCAGGCGAGATACTTTAATTCGGAGCCCATAAAGTGGAAAGATACTGTCTAGGTTTGATGTGAAGGAAGGTGAAATAGCTGTGAAATGCAATAGTAAGTGGACTTAATCCATCTGACAATTTCTCAGAGTAGAAATGTAGTTTGGAAGATTGTAAGTGCCGTGATGAGGCCTGCAAAAGTGGTCCCTGTCATAATTAGGCTGACATTTTAACTGGAAGAGACAGATTTAAACGATGAGTAAGAAATTTTCAGCTTTCAGTAGGAGCAAATAAAATGGGGTGGAGAGTTACCTAAGCTATACGCCTGAATAACAATTGATTTCCAAGTTATTACAGTTGGAGACATGTAAATTATTACAGATGTCAAGGGAAATAATAGTGTTATTTTAAAGCTACTCTGCAATAGCAGAGGAAGTGATCAGGTTTTTAAATGTTTTGCTGTGGTGCGCCTGGGTGGCTCAGTCCTTAAGCGTCTGCCTTTGGCTCAGGTCATGATCCCAGGGTCCTGGGATCAAGACCCACATTGGGCTCCCTGCTCCGCGGGAGGCCTGCTTCTCCCTCTCCCATTCCCCCTGCTTGTGTTCCCTCTCCGTGTCTCTATCAAATAAATCTTTAAAATTTTTGCTTAAAGACTGAGAAGACCGCGCAGCATTGACAACTATATATGAAAAGTCACAGGATATCCTCCTGCCCTTAGGGGTCAGTGGCAAGAAACTAGCAGTAATCCAAGCAAGAGATAGCTCCATCTACTCAGGATAGTTTCACCCGGATATATCACAGGCTACTCAAACGATTTGGGGGGGAGGGTGTGTCCCCTAACGTTTCTGTATTTGAGAATGACACCATCATCCACCCAGCAAAGAAACCTAGATACCACCCCCCTTTTCTTTACCCTCCTATACCAATTAGACCCTATGTCTCCACTCCTCGATCTCAAAGTTAGCTGACTACATCAGAATCACCTATGGTGATGTTAAACACAGATTCCAGATTCCTGAACCTTCATCCCCACAGGTTCTGAATTAGTTTTCTGAGGGGCCTACAATCTGCATTTTTTAAAATGCTCTCATCTTCATTTCTGCTACTGCTACTTTAGTTGAGGTCTTCTTGGTCAGCTTTTCCTGAAAGCCTATTCGCCTCACTTGGCTCTAACTCTAAATTGCTGCTAGAGGAGTGCCTGGGTGGCTCAGTCGTTAGGCGTCTGCCCTCGGCTCAGGTCATGATCCTGGGGTCCTGGGATCTAGCCCCGCATCGGGCTCCCTGCTCAGCAGGAGGACTGCTTCTCCCTCTCCCTCACTTGTGTTCCCTCTCTCGTTGTGTCTGTCAAATTAAATAAAATCTTAAAAAAAATAAATTGCTGCTAGAGTGATGTTGGTTTTATTATTATAAACTTTCAACTCGGATATTAATGACAGTTTTATTTGTTTTCCCCCTTGTACAATCTTTTTCTTCTGTTGGTTTTGGACTCTTTCATATTAGAGGCTTCCTGGGGTGTCTGGTAGTCATGCATTATCTGCACATATTTAAAAGTGGGACATTTAAAACTTGATTGGAAACAGTCTGTGGGACAATTTGTTGAAAATCAAATTGAGAGAAAAGGGCTGTGGTGTATGTTTCGGGGTGTGTGTGTCTCAGAATGGAGTATAAAATTTATCACTTAATTCTATTTCAAGTGCCTAATATCCTCCAATATGAAGACATTGTTTTTGTGGGGTTTTTTTTAAAGATTTTTTTTGACAGTGACACAGCAAGAAAGGGAACACAAGCAGGGGGAGTGGGAGAGGGAAGGAGAACCAGGCTTCCCGCTGAGCAAGGAGCCCGATGTGGGGCTTGATCCCAGGACCCTGGGACCAAGACCTGAGTGGAAGGCAGACGCTTAACAACTGATCAACCCAGGCGCCCCAAGACATTGTTTTAGGGGCACCTGGGTGGCTCAGTCGGTTGAGTGTCCAACTCGATCTCAGCTCAGGTCTTGATCTCCTTGATCTCAGGGTCAAGAGTTTAAACCCCACATTGGGCTCCACGCTGGGTGTGGAGCCCACTTAAAATTAAGAAGAGACACCTGGGTGGCTCAGTCAGTTAAGTCTACCTTCAGCTCAGGTCATGATCCCAGGGTTCTGAGGGCTCCCTGCTGGGTGGGGAGTCTGCTTCACCCTCTGCCCCTCCCCCACCAGTCATGCACGCTTTCTCAAATAAATACCATCTTTTAAAAAAAGACACCTGGGTGGTGCAGTTGGTTTAAACCTAGTTTCAGCCCAGGTCATGATCTCAGGGTCGTCAGATCGAGCTCTCCACCAGTGGACAGTCTGCTTGAGATTCTTTCTCTCTCTGCCCCTCCAGGTCATGCTCTCTCAAATCTTTAAAAAATTTAAAAAAATTTTTTTTACTTTCTCCCGAACACAGCGGCCTTCAGAATTAGGCTATACAGGGGTGATGGGTAGTGGCATAAGGATAGAACTCATTCCTAAATGAACTTCCAATCCTTTTAGTTACCCTTGTCACCCCTTTCCAGAAGCCAACTTCTGTTTCTTAAGGGGTTCAGTCATATAAATAGGATTTGTTTATTGGCTTTGCTTCCTGCTGGTTTAGAATTTAGCTTTTCCAAATCAGCTGAGCCCTTTGCTTTTGACTCCAGAATCTTTTCCTCTATCCTTGAGAGTTTAGGACTCTTATATCCCTTTACTATCATTTTCAGGGGGTCTTAAGAGTAAACAAATGCAGAAGACTATGTTCAAAACACCATTTTTACCTGGTAACCTGGAGTGATCATTCTAAAACATACACCAGATTAGTCATAGCATTCTCCTGCTTAAGACCTCCTTCAGAAAGAAAAAAAAGACCTTCAGTGGTCCCTCATTACCTACAGGATGACAGACTCTTTACCAAGGTAAGCAAGATGGCTCATTATCTAACCCTATCGGTTACAGTTAACCACTGCTCTCCTACCCTCCACACTCCTCATACCTGGTCCTGGAAGCTCCAGCTATAAGACCCTAGTAAATCTTCTGAGCATTCCAACTCCTTATCAAATTTCCACACCTGTGTTTTGGCAGGGTTTCAGGCTGAAATACCCTTTCTACTCCCCATGTCTGCTCAATGAACATTCATCCCTTATGAAAACACAGCTTAAACATTACCTCCTTGGGACACCTGGGTGGCTCGGTCAGTTAGGCGTCCGCCTTTGGCCCAGGTCATGATCCCAAAGTCCTGGGATCGAGTCCCACATCAGGCTCCTTGCTCTGCGGGGAGCCTGCTTCTCCCTCTGCTTGAGCAATCTCGTGCTGACAAATAAGCAAAATCTTTTTAAAAAATCACCTCCTTGGTGCCTTTCTTCTTTCTTCAAGCCTTGTATTAGAATTTACCCATCCTCCCTCCACCATCCCATGAACCCAACATACTGTTGGGAGGGACACTGCCATGACCCTGAATGTCCTTGCAAATTCTTGCTGGGTATGTCAAAAACACAAGGTATTGATTGCTCTTTATTCAGGTCATTTGTCAGGGTTGTTTGGGGTGATGGATCTTCAAAGCTGAGGTAATGTCTTTCCTCAAGGAGCAGGTTTGCTTCCATTTACTATAAAATCAAATCCCCCAAACTTAGTATTCCTTTCCTGTCACACAACCCACTGCATGTGCAGACATCCATCTCTGCCTGACTCCATCTTCCCAGTGGGACTTGGGAGCAATGGAGCTCTGGCCACTGCTTTTGCCATGAGTAACAAATTTCTCTTCGACCCAGGAATCTCAGGTCTATTGCCACGAAACAGTAACAGGCTAGCATATTAGCTTTTCAGTAGGGTATAAGCCCACCCCTTTCCCAAACAGTAACTTACACTTCTTACAGAACCTATCAACAGCTGCATTTAACTTCTTATACTAAAGTATCTTGAGAACAGCTTCATGTCTTATGCACCTGTTTCCCCAACTATCTTTTTACTCTTCTCCCATCCACTACATTAATTCCTGAGAAGTTTCAATGCCTATCCCAGAACCTCGCTGATCCTTTGCATTTATTGATGCATTCTAATTTCACTTCTTTTCACCTAATCCCCCACACCTCATCTCAGTTGCCAATGTTGTTTAAAAATAGAAATGATTTCAAAAACAATTTTGAGTATCCTTGACCCTACCTCCAGTGTGTGGGTTTTCCATCCATCACACAATCAACTCAGGAACAGCCAGTTGGAAGAAACGCAGAGGACAAGGTATGTGGAAAGGGAGCATGGAGCTACCATGCTCTTCAAACATACCACTCACCCCCGCATCTCCATGTCACCAGCCAGGAAGTTCTCCAGACCCCGCGTCCTTCTGGGTTTTTATAGAGGCTTAATTATGAGGGCACAATTGATTAAATCACTGGCCATTACCTGTTGATTTAACCTGCCCTCTCCCCTCCCTGAAAGTCAAGGAGGTGGGGCTGGAAGTTCAACCCTCTAACCACACGGTCAGTTCCCCTGGAAAAGAGTCCTTATTCTTAGGTGTTTTCAGAAAGTCACCTCATTAACATAAACACAGGTGTGGCTGAAAGGAATCTGTTATGAATATTGACACCTTTATTAGAGGCAAACCAAAAAACACTCAACCATAGAGAACAAACAAATGGTTACCAGAGGGGAGGTGGGTGGGTGAGGGATGGGTTAAATAGTGATGGGGATTAAGAGTACACTTACCTTGACGAGCACTGAGTAACATATGGAACTGTTGAATCACTATATTGTACACCTGAAACTAATATAGCACTGTATGTTGACTACACTGTTATTTAAAAAAAAACCTTTATTGCTCTTATCACTTAGGAAATCTCAAGGACTTTAGGGTATCTGTGCTAGAAATAGGATAAAGACCAAATATATATCTTATTATAAATCACAGTATCATACTACCCTGAAGACAAGGCTAGCTCCCTGTTGTGTGCTTTGCAGCATCACAGTTGGGATAATGGTGTGTTATATGATTTCATCTTAACAGTGCTCAGCTGCCCAGTTGAAGGTGGAGAAAATTAGTGGTTGGGTTCACTCAGGCTTGTTTTGTCAGATGGCTAGGAAAGAATGGAGGGATGAGGAAGCTCCCATTGTTCGTAAGAGGGAGTCTGTTGTATTAAAGTTCTGCAGAGGAACAAAAACACATATAAACATACACATACCACATAAAATATATAAAAGTATATGTTTGAAAGAGAGAGATACATGTATTTTAAGAAATTGGCTCACACAATTGTGAGGACTGTCAAATTTGAAATCTATAGAGCAGGCCAGCAGGCTGGAAACTGTGGCAGGGTTTTGAAAATTCTATCTTCAGGAAACCTCCATCTTTATTCTTAAGACCTGCAACTGACTGGATGAGCCCCACTCACATTATGGAGAGTAATCTGCTTTATTCAAAGTCTACTGATGGGGCACCTGTGTGGCTCAGTCTGTTAAGTGTCCGACTCTTATTTCGGCTCAGGTCATGGAATCGAGCCCCACGTGCACTGAGCCCTGCATCGCATGGGGCTCTATGCTCAGCAGGGAGTCTGCTTGAGAGTCTCCCTCTCCCTCTGCCCCTCCCTCTACTCACGCTCTAAAATCAATTTTTTTTAAGTCTACTGATTTAAATGTTAATCAAATCTAAAAAATAACTTCACCACATCTAGACTGGTGTTTGAACAAACAACTGAGCACCACAGCCTAGCCAAGTTAACACAAAATTAATCATCCCATTGAAGATATCCATCAGAATGTCAATAGTGAAGCCAAACAATTTTCAATGAAGCAAATTCAAAGGCTGAGGAAGAGTACAGGACCCTTGTGGGCCTCTTTTGTGCAGTCATTTTCCATTTTGTCACAGTGCAAGGAGTTCAGTATTATGGTAGATCTTGAGAACTTCCAAAAAAGTTAAAAGCACTGGTTCCTGCCATCTAACAACTTCTCAGCTACATAAGAAGAAAATTTATGCACACACAAAAGATGAGTTGACATTGCATACTATAGCTTAGTCTAAAATGTCTAAGGGGCATGTGGCTTTTCCTGAGAGGCTTGGATTTTCATTTTGACTTAAACAAGAAGGCAACTTTCCCTAGGAGTTGACGAAGCTCTATTTGAAATCCAAAGAAAGAAGGCATGAGATGTGATGCCCTGGGGCAAGATTGTCAGAGGCAATAACATATATGCATATATTATTTTATTTTTTGTTTAGAGGTGGGACTTGGTATGTTTATTTTTAAAATAGTCTATATTTTAGAGCAGTTTTAGTTCACAGCAAAATTGAGCAGAATACAGAGTTCTCACAAACCCCCTGCCCCCACACATGCATAGCCTCCTCCACTATCAACATCCCCCACCAGGACAGTACATTTGTTTCAACTGATAAACCTACATGGACACATCATTATCACCCAAAGTCTATAGTTTACATTAGGGTTTACTATTGGTGATGTACACTATGGGTTGGAAAAAATATATAATGACATGTATCCACCATTATAGTATCACACAGAGTAGTTTCACTGTCCTAAAAATTCTGTGCCCCTCCTATTCATCCCTTCCTCTCCCACAGACCCCTGGCAACCACTGATGTCTCCACAGTTTTGCCTTTTCCAGATTCACACAGTAGGTAGCTTTCATAGATTAGCTTCTTTCAAAAGATTGGCTTCTTTCACTCAGTAATATGCATTTAAGTTCCCTCCATGTCTTTCCATGGCCTGATAACTCATTTCTTTTTAGGACTGAATAATATTTTATTCTCTGTATGTATCACAATTTATTGATTTACCTACTTTAATTTGATTTAAAAAAAAATTCCCCTGACCACAAACACATACACATACACATTTTGGAAATCTAAGACACCTCTTCTGTTACACTCCCCATTCCCACTAGTATTTCTGCAGACTTACTACTTACTACTTACAACTTACTACTCTTATAGTGCTTACTTAGCATTACATTTTAAATAACTTTATGTGTCCTTTCTACTCAGCCAGGAGTTTTTTTCTGTTCCTAAGCAATGGCCTATTTATTGCAATGTCTGGATCAGAGAAATAAGATCTGACTAGCTGATGTGAAGAAGGGAGCCTGGATGTGACTATTCCTGTGCTATTCATCATAATGCACTAACTAAAGGTCACTATTAAAAAAAAGCAAACACACATATTTAAACATACTTATTACATGTATTTGTCACCAACGCATCACAATGAAGTCACAAAAAAGTGGGCTTAGTTTAATTCACAACAAGATAGATCCTGTGAAAACACATTTTTCATCTTTGTGATTTTCAATACTCTGCTTATTTTAATTTAAAGCAGTTAAACAAATTTGAGAGTATATGTATAAAACTGTAATTTAATTCAGACTTCAGAAACTTGGGAAATAAAAGGTCATGATGGAGAAACATTAAGAAATTTGTAGAATTACCAAACTCTCACAGTACCTTAATCCTTTATAAAAGCATCTCAGTAAAACAAAATAAAAACAATGGGAGACAAAAACTATGGAAAACACAAAAGTCAAATCAGAGATTTTGGTTTAGTACTTTCCCTGAGTCTCTTGTTTTTAAAAATCAAATGTAACTGAGGCCAATTCAAAATTGACCCATAGGTCTTGCCTCCTCCATGCTGACATGAGGAATACATTTAAGACAAGAGGCTATATACTCAAATGGTCCCAGGGCTTTATTCAAATGCCAATTTGCTTATGTCACTGCCACAAGGTTATGTGACCTGCTGCTGCCTGCTGTGCATGGGCTTAAAGAGCTGTCAAGATTTTATCTTGGCCTGCCATAATATAACATATGAGACTATATACCAAATGAAGACAGAAGATTTCAGTTATTAATAAATATTAAATTTCTAAATGGATTTGGACACTATATACATCAAATTAAGGTAACTTAACACAGAAACAAACACTTTTATGTTTTAAAAAATCTTACATAAACAGGGGTTGGGGGCAGGTCAACTTAATATTTTAAATCTCAGATGTTACAAGAAAACACTTTTAAAAATTGTTCAATCCCAATAAAATAAAGTAGAAAAAAGTGATAAGGTGATGCTTAGAATTAGATGGGCATGCTAATTCCGAAATAGTTGTCACCTTGATTCTTAAGCAAAATCGGCCCCTACAATGTTTCTACTTGATCACTTAATTGCAACTATGTATATATATTTATACATACATATGTGTATATGTTTGCAAATGATCAAGCAGTTCATTAAAAGAAAATATAATTAATAAGGATAAAAGGGTTGTTAGAATCTAAAAATTTTTTACTTCAAATGTACTAGGTTACTTGCTGGGTTTATACTATAAGGGCACTAAGTAGTATGAATCAAATGTACTTTATAATCAAATGTAGGAAAGCACCTTCCACAGACATGTTTTTAGAATCATTTTTAAGACATCTCAAAGACAGGTGGCAAAGCACTGCTAAACCGTCTCCCTTCACCATAATGAAATCTCAATTTCAGAATAACAGCCAACATTTCAAAAACTAATAATCATGCACTATCTTAAAATTGAGGGGTGAAATGATGGCTCTAACCACCAAAAGTATGACACTTTTTCACATTCCTATTAATTATTTAATCTTGTAATATAAGTACCCCATTGCACAGGCGGGAAAAGTGAGGCACAAAAAGGTATGTATTTGTTGTTCTTGTTTTAAGTTTTGTTAGACAGGGAAGCCAAGGTCAAAACCACACTGAGAACTCCAAGAGCCTGACACTTTTGGGATATAATGGATTCAAGGTTTGCATGAAATGTTATATTTAACTCATGTCCTGTTTACATCACACCACCTTAGTCTAACCTCTTGCAAACTCTTTAAAGCATGGACCTGGCAAATGCCACGTACCCCACCTTCTCTGACCAGGTAAAAAAAGGCTAGCTGATGTTTGTGCATTAAAAAAAAAAGAACAAAAAACAAAAGAAACACCAATGTTGCAGTATTATTTACGATTAGCAAGGTTTCAATCATGAAAATATTCCACAACTGAATTTCAATAACTTTCAAGAAACATTCCACAAAATTCTCTAAGAATCTGTGGGAAGGTATAGTGCCTGACAATCCTCACTAAAACAGAAATTTACCTATTCTTTGCATTATTGTTGCTGATGCGAAATTATATGTATATGATCTCAGAAGTGGTAGCCTCAAAGTACTAAACTACTAAATAAAACTGAAAGGATCATCCAAATTCCTAGATAACACCAAAATATTTATCTAGGATTGTTAAGGAAAGCATAGCACTTTGGTACTCTTTTCAGACTCTCAAAACTTATAAAGGTAAACATAAGCGTGTGGCATTTTACATCGTTTCAAGGGAGTAACAGTAAATGGATAGGATATTAACCACCACTAAAACTTCTTGACCAACTTTATATCTTGAAAAATCTTATCTGTCCCTACCAGCTACCATTCCAATTCCACAGGGTATTTTCCAGTGAGACAAGCTGTACAATGACCATTCTTTTCAAAGCATTCCAGACCATTCCCATTCTCTTGAATCATAATATCCTGCTTTTCCACTTTCTGTTTTTTAAACTTTATCCCTTCTTGTACAGATGAAACCAGTCCTCCCACTGACAGATATACAACACTGTTTGCTCCTAAAGGAGGAAAGAAAGAAAAAGGAAAAGGACATTACACTTCCTTTAGAAAGGATGAAATGCCTCAAAAAATGACAGTTACAAAGAGAAAAACTCAAGCCAGGATAAAAATTCCTCCTTTAGCTTCTTTAAAAGGGGGAGGGGGAAGGAAGAAATACGCAATAAAACTCTGGGCCTTTATTATTTTTTAAAATACGAAATTGGAATTTAAGGGAGAATATAATTTAAAATAACAGTGGAGGTTTCAAATCTAGAATGGATTCAATAAGTTTCGGGAGTAATTTTCTTGATAACGAAAATAGACTTTGAGGTCAGGAAAATCCGGGTTCAAATATAAGCTCAAGGTCACTTACTTTTCCTAAGTCTATTGTTTCATCTGTAAGATAAGGGAAACGTGGCCTAACTGTAGAGTAGTTGCGATATTATTACAATAATATACATATGTTCCTGGCAAAGAGTAAATGTTCACAATAAGATATCAATTGGGTGATACTCAAAATATTTAACTGGTAAGGCACAGGCATGTCAAAAGAAGCACCAGCCATAATCAAGCAGTGTAGAGGTACCAAGGTACACTGGCTAAACATCTGTGTGATAATTAAATACTTTATCTCACCTAATTTGAAAAGCAAATGTTTTATCCAGGATAACCTAGATCTCCAAGTCTGCTGACTTCATTATTAAAGATAACTCTAGAGTAGCTTTTCACTTTTTGATTTGTACCCACATCCAAATTATTCTATTAGAATCTATGGTAAAATTGTTTTTTTCTTGGGATCTGATCTTTGTAAGGCTTTAACTGATATGCCTGCAGTTCCCTCTACCTGGAAAGCCTTTCTTCCTTTCCACCTGATCTCACCTTGGCCTAGGTCTCCAATACAGCACTTACCAGGGTGTCTATATACACCAGGCACTCTCATTATTCAGAACAGTGTTCAATATTGGCTCAACATGTCATACAACATGTATTTTTAACAAATACTGGACACTGTTTTTTTTATTACAAGTGTAAAGACTGACAAGCTTTGGATTTTCTGTTAATAAATAAAGTTTACAGAAATTTTAATACCTACCCAGATATTTTGCAAGATGTTCAAATTCAGGTTTATTGGCAATAAGCTCTTCTTTTGTTGGTATGTTTATTCCCATAAAGCATGGATATCTAATTGGTGGTGAAGCCACTCTAATGTGTACCTTGGAAAGAAATCATTTTCACATATTATTTTGACATGCATTTTAAGAATAATCGTATAAGGGGCGCCTGGGTGGCTCAGTCAGTTAGGAGTCCAACTCTTGATTTTGGCTCAGGTCATGACCTCAGGGTCATGAGATTGAGCCCCGATTCAGGCTCCATGCTCCCCATGGAGCCTGCTTAAGATTCTCTCTCTCTCTCCCCCTCTGCCCCAACCCCCTCACACACTCACAAACTCTTAAAAAAAATCTGAAAAGATTATCATAATCATAATAACAGTCATAAAAAAGTTGGAAACTCATAATTGCACTTTTTTTTATTCATTTATTTACTTTTTAGAGAGAGAGAGCACACACACAATCACGCAGGGCAGAAGAGGCAGAAGGAGAGGGAGAGATCTCAAGCAGATTCTATGCTGAGCACGGAGCCCAAGGCCGGGCTTGATCTCATGACCCTGGGATCATGACCTGAGTGGAAACCAAGAGTCAGACTCTGAAATGACCGTACCGCCTAGGCGTCCATCATAATTACAATTACCTTTAAAGCTTTGTAGAAAGATTGCCACTGCTTTCCATGCCACTTTCTCCTACAAGAGACTTTATTTTTGAATCCATTCAACTATTAGTTGTAAATTACATCTCTTCTGTAATTTTTATTTTTTAAAATCACTTCTGTAATTTGAATTACTGAGATATTTAGAGTTAGAATAAGCTCTGAGGTTTAAAAATATAACCCAATGTGGCAAATTTATTACAATAGGATTTGTTCTGCATCTTCAAAAAGAGAAATACTCTAAAAATTTAAAAAGCACTCTATTTTGTGGTTTTAGTTTTTAAAATTACATACATGTTTTCCAAGTTACTGCACAGTTATTACTAAACCAACTTATATGAAAGATGACAATTTATTATATTGAACTATCCATTTTCATTCACTGTACTAAACTGCAATTTTTTTGCCAGTATCCTGTTGTTAATTATCAGTACTTTAGGATATGTTTTAATATTACTTACCTCTTTTGCACCAGATTCTTTGAGCAATTTGATTATGGGTGAAATGGTATTGCCTCTTACAATTGAATCATCTACAAGAACAATTCTTTTGCCTTTAAAGTTGTCCGACAATACTCCAAATTTTTTTGCAACACCAAGCTGTCTTAACCTCATGTTTGGCTGAATGAAGGTTCTTCCTACATACCGGTTTTTACATAGCACTTCCACATATGGAAGCCCACACTGATAGACAAGAAATAAAAGGACAATGAGCAGCAATAGAGAACCCTAAGTTCCTATTTTCTCTAGGTCATGCTTCCATTATATGTATACAAACATCTGAAATTGCTATTCTGAACTCTCCAGTAACAGATTACAATTTTCCTTCACTATTTAAATTGTAGGGAAAACAGGCAAAAAAGAAATATCATTCAAAGTAATATACTCAGTGGGAAAACCAATTCATTTTGCCAGGAGTTATAATGCTTTTAAACAAATATTTCTCTGTCCTGGAAGGGAACACTAAGCGTGTGAAGACATGACAACAATAAATCACTGTCAGAAAAATTCACAGCAATTAAAAATTATCAGCAAGAAATGAATTAAAACCAGTATGCAAAGGATATACTTTCTGAGGGGGCAGGCGGGGATTTATCCATCTTTCAAGGTAATACTAACCTAAAATGTATGTATATTATTTCTTTTAAAAACTAATACGCTAAACTTTTCAACCTAGTGAATGCTGAGCCGGACACCCCAGGATCACTATAGTTATATTATCTACCTGGTTATGAAAAATGCAATTAAGCATAGTACTAAAAATATTACATTAAAAAAAATGTTTAAGAAAAAAGGGGAGCCTGGGTGGCTCAGTCGATTAAGCGACCAGCCCTTGATCTCAGCTCAGGTCTTGATCTCAGGGTCGTGAATTCGAACCCTTGCATTGGGCTCTGTGCTTGGCGTGGAGCCTGCTTAAAATAAATAAATAAATAAATTTAAAAACATTACACAAAATGAACATGAATGGCTTTATTATCACCCATACTAAATAGGGAACAAATATACCAGGGTACTTCAAGAAATAGGTTTTAATAAGTAAATATTACCACTAAATTCTATATATATTCATGATGTTATCTTTTTAAATAAAGAGGATCATTCTGCTAATCTTTGGGTGGACTCCACTAAAATAGGGCCATTGAATGAAAAGGCTGGAAAATAACTCTTGTAAAGGACCCAGCATTTTCTTTCTCCTTACAATGTGTTGGTAAGTTTCTCTTTATATACAAGGATTTCTAATTTCAGTGCTACAAGAGCATTTCACTGCATGTCCAAAGAAAATACCTTTCCTGCATAACCGAGAGCAGCAGGTGTAGCAGATTCCGGAACAGTGCTAACCAAATCTGCATCCACAGGGGCTTCAATTGCGAGCTGCTGACCACAGCGATATCTTACTGTGTAAACCATTTGGTCTGGAAGGTTTGGAAAAGGAAATGGATTTTTATTTAACATGATATTATTATTCTAAGAAAATTAGCTTGTTAGAATGCCATACATGGAGTATAAAAAGTAAAGTAAAATATATAAAACAACTAAAGTGGAAATATATAAACTGGGGAATTCCCTATTCAAAAAAAAAATCCTGGCCTTAATATATATCTGAACATCATAATCCTTACTCCTAAAAAGGAAAACAAAATCCAGGAGTCAAATGAAAGGGAAAAATAGTGATCATATGACTTGTAGGTTCAGTCCCATATCCACAACATGTAAGCAATGTGCCTCTGAAGAGCCAGGTAAGCTTTCGAACCAAGAACTGCCACGTTTCAGGGGCGCCTGGCTGGCTCAGTCATTAAGCATCTGACTTCGGCTCAGGTCATGATCCCAAAGTCCTAGGATCGAGCCCCGCATTGGGCTCCCTGCTCAGTAGGAAGCCTGCTTCTCCCTCTCCCACTCCCCCTGCTTGTGTTCCCTTTCTCACTGTGTCTCTCTCTGTCAAATAAATAAATAAAATCTTTAAAAAAAAAAAAAACTGCCACGTTTCGATGAGATAAATACGACACTTATATAAAAAGTTAAAGATATTTTATTTACCTTCAAATATACTATCTGGTCTTGCAAAATAAACATATTCAAAGATACAAAAAGCCATCGGGTTTCCTTCAGACCTTGGTATAATGTCAAGAGTTTGGACACTACGTTTGGTTATTTCCACGATTTCTCCAGGCAAGACTTCACGGTAATATCTTGGGAAACAATGTTGAAGAAAGAAGACTAAATAAACCGGTCCTTAAGACCAATAATAACATCTATTGTAAAGTACACACAGAGTCCCTGCCCTTATAAAGGAAAAGTGTGGTTCAGTTTAAGAGATGGCTTAAAAAATTAAAAAGTAATATTCCTCCAGCAGTAAATCTAGTATGTATATCTATTACCCCTAAATTCTAATTTTGAATTTTAAAAAATAAAAGCCCTAAGTTTTACTGAGTTTTGGAAGAATGAGGCTAAAGAGAACATTTTTATTCTGGCTTAAATTTTTTGATCATAACTATCCCTTGTTGAAGAGATTCTTGATTCTTGCTTTCTAAAAATAGGTCTCATTGGACTGTGAAAACAAGATGCCAGTTTCAGAATTAGAAGGTATTACAGGAACATTAAAGTCAGTGCAACTACTGAGCACAATGTACAAAAGAAACTGCATTTATAGATATGTCTTCTTGCAGACATCAGAAAGCTTTCATTTAAAAAAATTTTTATGGATGTGGAAAAAGTGAACATGCTGAGTGAAACAAAACTTACCTTGCACCAATTGATAAAAAGCTACAAGATTCTGAAGATACCACCCATCCTTCTATTTCTGAAGATTTTTTCTCTGTAAATCACAAGGCAATATAGTTAATGGATTCAAGAAATTTTACAAGAGGATACCTATTTTAAGTGAACAGTTAAACACCAAATACATTTTAAAAGTCTATTTCTACAACTTTTTTTTCCCATTTCTACAACTTTAAGAGCACATGAATCTAACTAGAACTTAAATAAAAATTTGAGAAGAAAAAAAAAACCACATCGATCTTCAACTTGAGCCAAAGATAAAACTAATGATACCAAAATTCTTTCAAAAACTGATTTCAATGTCTCAAATAGACATCTAATAAGTCAAAAAGAAAATCATTGAAATCATACTACAATCAAATGAAAAAGCTGGGCAAAGGCAATTCAGACAAAACAGGAATGTCCATTAAATTCTTAAAAAATGGTTCATCCTCAGAAATACTCAAAGAAATGTACTTTAGAAATTGCCATTTTTTTTTATTTTTACCTAGTTCCTTCTCACTTATAAGCTTCCTATGCCTCAAGATTTGAGGGTGTGCCAACAGTAGGACAATGACTTGGAAAAGCACTATGAAATTACATTTCTTCTGAGGTGCATTACCTTTATCATTTATATCAGATACAGGCATAAGACGTCCAATGCATAAAGGACGATTTCCATAAGGATCTCGAACTGCATAAATAACATCTCTGTGCATTATAAGCAGGGAGTATGCTGTGGGTGCTTCCTTCATTAAGTTTTTAATCCTGAAATTAATTAAATAATTGAATGAATAACAGAGCTCTTGTTACCAGAGCTACGAGCTTAGCCTAGTTTTACAATTACCTTGCTACCCAATCTGGAGTGCCATCTTGTTCCTGAGGAGGGGTATACGCCAGTAACTGGGTTATCATTTCGCTATCAGAACTTGTTGACAAACCAATACCGTGCCTCAGAAGCTATTTAGAATGGAGAAAAGTGTAATCATTAGAGGGAAAGCTCCACCTGACCCTTCTTTACCCAACAGCCCACCATTGTACAAAGAAATCAGAAAATCCTGCATTCTACTACTGACATGTATATAGTAATGGAGAAGCACTGCTAGAGGCAATGGGAAGTCTCTGAAGGTTTTTAAGCAAGAAAAAAAAAGTGTTCTAGGAAGCATAAGAACAGCTTTTGAAAACTAAGTCTGAAGGAATGCAGACCTGCAATAAAGGTGGGGGACAGTAGAGAAGGCACAAGACTTTGGAACTATGATGCTAACATTTTCAGCCCTTGACAATCCTGACCAAGAGGACACATTCCCTTAAGAGTGGTGCACTACAGTGGGGCCTCTCAAACCAGCTTTGTTCGTGGTAGTGCTGGTAGCTTCCCACCGTCACTGATTATCGCTGATAGAGTAGAATAAAGGAATTAACCCTATTGAACAACTAAATGTAGAAGATGTAATGAAAATTGGTTGAACACTCTCATGATGATTACGAGGTTCTGAGCAAGACTGACCGGGACAAGAACATCACCACTGACATGTACAGGCTGAGTTTAAACTCATACTACACATTTTCAGTAGGCAGCTAAATGTGTAGAAGTGAAATCCAGCATCTGGATAAGGGATTATGTCTACAAAGAATAAGCTAGGTATTGTTCAAATTGAACTTTTGGTGGTTATGGTGAGCTTTTTTAAATTAATTTTTACTTCATATTTATACTTTTCTGATTGTATGAATTAAAAAATTATTTTTTCATTGGGGGCAAAAAAACATTTTATTATCATTATAATACTAGAGCCCAAGAACAGGGCAGAAGAAAGCTCTGTGAAATAACTAAAGCTAAAATTGAAAATAAAAGGACAATGAGTGGTATGGAAGCATGGTTCTAGATATTTTCCACACATCAAAATTCACCATCATTTGACTTGTCACTAATTATCCCATGTAAAATGCCTGGTTCTAGAATGCTAAGGAGATAACTGTGTGTGTAGAACCATCCTGTTAATGAATACCACCTGAGGTTTTTATTTGCAATGTGACCAGACCAAGATCATTGGAATCCAATGGATGGAAGAAACTTGGTATCAATAAATGAATGGCAAGAACGGATAATTAAGCTATCAGGAATATAAATATACCAAGTAATTTTAAAAAAAGGAAGATGAAATGATGATGAATAAAGGTATAGGCACAAATTAACACAGAATGCTCCAAACAACATGCTACGAACAAAAAAGAACCTAAGTAAACTCTCTTTGCCCTTTCGCCAAGTGGTTTCCTGTAATTGTTTCCAAATCACTTTTTCTTATATTTGTTATCTTCGAGTTTATATTCTATTTTCTTCTTATGCTTTGAACATAAGAACTAAAGCTAAAGGGATAGGAAGAGTCCATAAACCCTAACTTCTCTGTTTCTAACAACAACCATATATTAACTTTTCCAAATCTCTACCCTAAAGCAGTACCTCAGAATCATCTTAGAAGCATATTAAAATGCTGACTGACCACCCTCCCACCCCAGTCTCTGGGGTGATATCTTAGAATCTGCAAGTATAACAAGTACTCCAGGTAATTCTAATACAGTTGTCCTCTGCAGTAAGTAACAGGTGGCAACAATTAGAAAATATCCTGCACTAAGATCCCCAATAATTTCATTTCATTTCATTCATTTATCCCAATCATGATAAAAAGCATTAAAAACACTTACCTTTTTCCTTAATTGAGCAGCATTTACCAATTCGCCATTATGTGCCACAGCTATTTTCCCATGAAGTGTTTCAACAACAAAGGGCTGACAATTTTCTAATTCACAGTTTCCTGTAGTGGCGTATCTTGTGTGTCCAATTCCAAGGTTTGAAATATATAATTTCTTCAAATTGTCTTGAGTAAAGACATGATTTACAAGACCCATTCCCTTGCAAAGTCAAAGTAAAAGCTCATCTTAGAAAAAAAACAGACTTGTGGCCCTAGTCAGTAAAGGCTTTTATAAGTTTCTGCTCAGGCAATCCCAAATTAGACAATGCACTTTACTTAATTCCTCTGTGCTCCAAATTCTAATCTTAAATAAGGACTAACCTAATTGTAAGAACCATAAAACATTTTTAGAAAAAAATTTGAGGTGAAATTCACATAACATAAAATTAACCATTTTAAGGTAAATAATTCAATGGCATTTAATACATTCACAATATTGAAGTGCTTGTTTTATGAGATTCTTTTCATTAAAACATTGAAGAAAAGATGTACTAAATAATAAAATTTGTCAAATATAATCAACTAAATCAATTGCATTTTAAAAATTCAAAGCATGTTAAAATATTTAAGTAAATGACCTGTTTCAATGAGTCAGTCTAGCAAACTACCACGCAGAAAGAAATGCACCCTCATTTGACAAATGGAAACGGCTGATCAAAGAGTATGACTTCTATATACAAATTATTTATTCAAATTTCCTTCCCCCACCAACATACGAGTTATCACCTGGTTGTTATCTTTATTATCAACATTTCATTATGTTCAAATATACCTTGTGTGTTTTGAATGTTGGTACTGAATTCCCATCGCTGGTCACAATACCAGCACTCTCCTGACCCCTGTGAATATAAAAAGGCATTAACTGTTAAATATAAATTTACCTCATTGATAAGCTTCCTTATGAAGCATACTTTTCTCAAGAGCATCCAGGAACTGAGGACACATTACATGCTAGTGCCACTTGACTCATGATGATGTGACTAGCAAGCAGCAGAAGATAGTGTCTGAGTTCCAACTAACACACCAGGCACTGTCGTAAGCCTTTACATGAATAATCTAATCCATCAGGCTCTCACAACAATCCTTTGAAATAGATACTATGATTATCATTCCCATTTTACAGATTAAGGACACTAAAGAAACGGAGGTTAAGTAACTTGCCCAATGTTACACAGAGAGCAGTGGCAGAGCCAGGATGAGAACACAGTCTGACTAGAGAACTTGTGCTTCTCATCTCTGTCCTATGTGACCTCTAAATAAAGTTGAGTATGTAGATATAAATGGAAATCTCCAAATAAATTAGCAGGTAAAATGCCTAGGTGGTGGGTAACAGAACCATGAACAAAATTCATTTATTTTTGAGGTTTTTGCTTTGCTTTTCTGCACTTTCCACTTTTTTCTCAACATGTATCTATCACTTTTAGTCATCACCAAAAAAATAAATCCTGCTTCTAAAAATCCTAAGCTGATCGGGCACTTTGTATTTCATTTCCTGTGTTAGTATTTTTAGGTGACGATATAGAGAAGAAAGCCAAAAGCTAGGCCAGAGGTAGCATAACACACGGTAAGACTTAAGAGGATCTGTACTACTGTGGAGTATCAAATGATAAAATAAAGGTTCTAAATGCTCCACAATTTTTAATAGTTCTGAACAAATGCTATAAATATTAACAAATTTTTGTTCAAAAGAATATATATCACGGTAGAAATAAAAAGTAAATCTCTAATATATGCATGTATACATTAATAATTAATATATTGACTTATTTGGTAAAATGGATCTTTTTCTAAATTACATGCTGTAGTTGTTTAGGTATTTTAATGACAAGAAAAACTACAACATTAAGTATACCCACAAAGCAAAAATCTAAAAAAATTAAATTTGAAATTTTATTAAATCATCAATACATTAAATAGACATGCATAATACTATACACCCTATAAGACTGGGTCATTTGTGACATAGGATTTCTTTAGTGAAATGATGTGGTCTTTAATGTTAACCTATGCTAGAAGACTAAGTGATTCGTAACAGAGGGGAAAAAAACGTTAGCCATAAATCTTAAGGCAGAAAGAACCTCTGCCAACCACTTCTAAAATAATTTTTCTAAAATCAACAATCATTTAATAAACCAGAGTAAATTATGTAAGAAAAGAAATAAAAAAATGGTTTTCCTTCCCTTTCATCTCAAGGGTAATTTTCCCTTAAGGCTGAAATTAAAAACATTAGTAATCATTTAGGTTCAGGCTTCTTTAATCACAAAGCCTGCTTATTTGGCAGTTTCTCAAGTTACTCCCCTCAGGCAGCTTGAACCAGTTAAACTAGATCTTTTCAGCTCTTTGGAGCTTATTGACAACCAGCCGTCTGGTTTCCTAGGAAACAAAACCTTGGCTAGAAATAGTGAATCATTTCCAGGTCACTTTCAACATGGAGAGTGGAGCAGGAAAGCACTGGACTGAAGAAGAGGTTAAAGCTTTGCTTAGTGTCTGGGCAGAAAAAAATATACGAGAACAACTTTATGGAACCCTGAGAAATAAAGGAATATTCATTTACATTGCTAAAAGGCTGCAAGCACTAGGAGTATACAGAGATTGGAAACAGTGCCGGGCAAAGTACAAAAATCTCAAATATGAATACAGAACAGTTAAATATGCTCATAACTCTGGAGACAGCTCTAAAACTATGAAGTTCTTCCATGATTTGGATGCGATCCTGCAGTATGAACCTGCCACACAATTAACAGAGGAAGATGCAAATGGCAAGTGCCTGGCAACGCTGAGGCTGAGCGAAAGTGCAGCTCCAGGGACCACTGAAGGTAAAAAGAAAAAGTAGCATTCTTTTGTTTTTACCTAACTATAAGAGTAGGGACTTCTGAGTCCATATGATAAACGTAGCCTGGAATATCATGGTTGAGAAAAACAAATGACCTGTTATGCTATTTCGCACAAGGTAAAAATTTTAAAGATTAAATACCTCCACTTTTTAAATCCGTGAAATACTGAAAAAACACACTAAAATAACATTAACCGCTTAAAAAAAAGTAACGTTAACCACTAATACCAACTCTCCTTAAGCATGCCTGATACGTTTTTTGGAAAATGGATTGGGTTTTTGAAAATACTTTAGGTTTTAATTTTTTAAGAGTGGCAAAAGAAAAAAAATCTAATATATTGCTCCACTGTTGTTTCTCCACAGCTCCTTGAAACAAGACAGAACTTTCTGCTCTGTATTTACGTTCACATTTTCCTAAATTTATCAATAAAAGCACTAAAATACTAGGAACTAATAAACAACTTCATTCCTCGTTTGGAAGAACAGTTCCACTTAAACAATCAGTGAACTAAAAATAGATTTGATAGATTAAATGATTTATGATTAAATGATTTAGATATTAAAACAAGGTTCTTGACTTGCTGTATTAAGCCCAACTGTATTTACGTAGAATTTATTCAGTCTGCAGAAGCTGAATGTATCACCAGGGAAAGCAGGGAAATCAGTGGCAGTGATGAGATTTCTCCCATAGCCAAAATCTTCCAGATGTTATTTTTAAGAGCAGAGTTGTTCAATTCAAAATCTCAAATACCTACTGTCTGCAAAGCAATGAGCTACTTGCACATGCATTCAGTGATGTGTAACCTCAGAAAGTAGGGCACCATGAATAAATGTTACATCTCAAAGAAAATGGTTTAAGTGGTAGAATGTAAGCTATCAAATGAGAAAGGGGGTAGGGTAAAATGACAGAAGTTGAAGTTAGGTTAATTTGGTTAATTAGGTTAATCTGAACTTCGTGTTTAAAGCTCAATAATAAATTAGTAAAAAATCCACTCCACTTAACATACTCCCTTTATGTTTCTGATAACTATACCAAATTCTGAGAAAGCTTTGCAGTCACTGTCAAGTTAAACAGCAATAACATTATTTTATTCAATTAATCATCCTGCACTCTTCATCATTTAAATGCTTTAAATATTGATTAATGAGAAGTAAACCATTCAGCTTCTGAAAAGCTTTGAATTTAACTAGAGGTTGGTGTTGCTGTAATTAAGATGTGGGTGCTAATATCTCCACTTTTTTGCCCCTCTCTTGTGTCTCTGTGTCTCCTCCTCCTTCTCTCCTCTCTCTCTCTCTCTCTCTCTCTCTCTCTCTCTCTCTCTCTCTCGTGTGTGTGTGTGTGTGTGTGTGCGTGTGTGTGTTTAATCTCCACTAAACCATATCTCCTTCTAACCCATTTAAGTATCCCCATGGCTCCAAATTCCCCACTTTCACCTACAAGCAGACGGCCCATAATTACAACTTAACCTTGTATGTTTAAGGTATCTCAAACCCCAAATTCTAAAACTACACACTCTTCCCTCATTCAAAACTGATCCTCCTACAAGTTGCTTCCACCTTACTATCGTTGTATATCCAATCACTTAAATGGAAACATTTGAGATACCCTTGACCTTTGGTCAATCACTACGTCCTTAAAAAAAAAAAAATCTGACATGTTTCATAAATTTTTTCTCTGTTCCATTTTCATTACCACCATGCAGAACTTCATCCGTCACATGGAATATTAAGATAACCTCTTAAATGGTCTCCCTACTTTCTAGTCCCTTCCCACATATCATCCACAATGCCACTGGTTGTTATTCTTTAAACTTTTTAAATTATAAAATTGCAAGCAAATTAGCATTTTGTTTGCTTTAATAATAATCTTTAAATTATACCCAGAACTAATTATAATTCAGGATTAAACGTTACTTAATGATTCCATAATATTTGAGTGCATATACCAGAGTTTATATTTGCCCCCTTAGAGAAAGGTGCTACAATCAATACCTTTTGTCCATATTTAACATTACTTTAGGAGAGACTATCAGAAGTTCAATTATTGGTCAGAAAGGGTATGATTACTTTGAAACAGTGTTTAAAAAAACTGCTTTCTAAAAGAATTGTACTTTACTAACAATGAAACTGTCCCTTTTTATAGAGAACTGTGTCATATCAGATCATAGGATGGGGTTAAGTAGGGGAGAGACTTCGCTAATTTAACAAATAATGAAGTATGCTAATTTAATAAACAAATAACTATCTATAACGGTATATGCAATAAATAATTTATTTTGCATTTGTTTAATTGCTAGTGATATGGAACAGTTTTCTATATGTTTATTTTTACAAATTAACTGTTTGTGTCAACTGAGGTCTTAGAAATTGCATGATCTCTTTTGCCTTACAATTCTGGCTGACTTTTATTTGACCTACAGAATTCAAAAGTTTTTAATGTAATCAAATAGTCTGATTTAAAAAACAAAGTTTTTGATTAAAGTTTTTAATGCAAACAGTCTTTTCTAAGGCTTAGAAAGCCCTCCTTTCTCCAGGTCTGATTCATTTATAATGTCTTCTGGTTTTTCTATGGCGGAACCAGCAGAATTTTTATTGGTGTATGGTTAACCTTTGAAGAAGGGAAGAAAATGAATGTGCCTTTTCCACTGTTGGGATCAACCTCATGCAAGTGGTAAGGACAGAGGATCTAGTTCCCTCTGTTAGGCAGCAGGTAGCCTGACTGAGCCTTGGCAAAAGGCTCAAATACAAACTCTTAAGAGGCTTCGTGTTCTGGAAATTGTAATCATCCTCAACCTCAGAATACCTTTGACCTACTACTGCCACCAAATCACATTCCTTCAGTGACCAAATTTCCACCCTATTTCCCTCCTCTTACTTGATACAAATGCATCAGGAGTAATGACTTAAGAGTTTCAGTTTATGGGCACCTGGGTGGCTCAGTCGTTAAGCGTCTGCCTTCAGCTCAGGTCATGATCCCAGAGTCAGCGCGGGAAGCCTGCTTCTCCC